GCCTGTTCCTCAGCAACCCTCCTGGGGTAGGGTAGGGAGGAGGTGAAGATAGATCCACTAGTCCATTTTTTCTTGCACCGTCTCAGAGTCTGAGAGCTTAACACATGGTGGGGCAATGCAGGGCCCCCCCTTCAGCCAGTCTCACTGGCAGGGTCCAGCTCCTTCAGCACTCAGGGAAGATGTTTCGGAGAATCTCAGAGACAGCAGAGTCGCCCACCCTCCAGCCACCAGCAACATCCACCCTGCAGCAGAGCACCTAACATGGAGAATGAGCCAACCAAGGAGAGGGAAGATGACAGGGAATATGACCCTGGAGCTGTGGATAACTCTGCTCATACAAGGCTTGAGGGCAGAAAATGGAATTTCATGTCTACGGAAGTAACACCTGTACATGGGAACCTGCCAATGGATTTTCCCATAAGATGTTTTTTGTTTTCCATCACACGCTGCTTTTCTTCAGGCGCCAATCACACTTGAAATCCAGCCAAAGGTGAAGACTGAAGAGACCTTTGTGCCTGTTAGGCCCAGATCTGTATTGGGTCATTCAGGATATCAGTGCTTTTCCTTTAGTCTAGATGGACCATGAGTCAGACGCACTCCCTGTTTGAACACCAGGGCACAGCAGGACATCCTGCTCCCCAGGGGCTAGCAGCCAACAGGGCCGTGGTCTACCCTCATCACCCCACATTGTGGCAAAATGTCTTCTTCCAAGGTTTACTCTGCCCCTGCATAAGGGCCAGTGCCACTCTGGCTATGCTTGTTCTGACACGTTTCAGAAACATTGTACAATTACACCCACAGCTAAACAGAAATATGAGAAGAAATACAATTACACATATAGATATTTGAACCTGATTCCTACCCCTCAGTGCCCCAATCAAACAACCCTCCAATGTGCACTGCACTTTGCAGACCCCTGAGCCCTCAAGACACTGCTCTTGGAAGTACCTAGTTGAGGTTGGGCCACAGAAAGCCCAGGCCCAGGCTCTGAATCCTCTCTCACTCAGTGCACCCATCTGATCTGCACTGATAAGTCAAAGTGGACACATACTCACCCGTTCCTCCCAATTCTCAACCACGAGCAGCTCGGCAGCCTGAGGAATGCAGGAGGATTTGCACTGTGCCCAAGTTCTTTTTTCAGGAGAAAAGAGGTAGGACTTGTCCTCCATGCGACTCCACCGTGATGGACATTGCTCCCCTGCAACAAACTCACACACCACAAATCAGCTCACCACCTCCCCACATATTTTAAATGCTGTGGATATTGCCATCATGAAAAGGGGTATTTCTTGCTCTTTTGATTTCACCACCTTCACTGCTTTTGTCCCTTGGGCCCAGCTGTGGGAAGAGATGCATTTGCCCCACACAGCTGAAGGGGAAGGGGGTTTTCTCTTCCTGGAGTGGCGGATGCTCCAATGCAAGGAATAGCACGGCTGGTTTTGACAGCCATAGCAAAGGTAAGAGGCCAGACAACCACCACTATCCTGGCCAAGGCCAGGCTAGGCCCCTCATCCCCAGGAGGCTTTTCCACCTATCAAGTGTTACCAGAGTTTGAAATTGATTCCTGCTCCACACAGGGACAGAGGGCACAGTAGAAAAATATTTCCTGAAATCAAAATCCATGTTTCTCCCAGAACATGTTATTTTGATTGATTTCCAGACATTTTGTTCTGACCTGAATGGGTTTTATAACTCTTTAAAAGCTCATTTAGTTACATTTTGGAACAAAGCATCATTTTAAATGGCTGCATGAGAACTATTTGTTTTAAAATGCTGGTGAAAAATGTCACTTCAACAATTTTGAAACTTTCCAGCAATAGCTTTGCTTTTAGAAATGTGTCTAAGCAATCTTGTTTCAAGAAGGGGTTGGGTTCAGTGAATGTGTGACTTCTGAGGAAGTAACATTTTGTCAAAAAGCTCTCTAGAGAAGAAGCACCCACTCCTGCTGGATGCGCTGACCCTCCCTACTTCCAGATCAGTGAAGGGGAGTCCATTCATTGGGTCAGTACTGGACTCCCCCAGTTTGGTGATGGGAGGAAATCAGAGAGATCTGGGCTGAAAAGGGTCAGTGATTTGTCTGTCCTCAACCCGTGTCTGTAACTGGAACTCATGTCAGGATCCCAGTGAGACTCCTTTATTCCCAACCAACACTCCTTGGCAATGAGGCCAACACTGCAAAGCCAGGATGACGTCTCAGACAAGTCTGGATTGGCATTGCGGATACAGAAGTTTTGACTCCAGGACTTACCTTGGTGAGGAGGCAGATCCTGAGGCATGTCTGGACAGCCTGAGCTTTGGGGTTGGCAGGTCATCAGCTGCTGGCTGAGGTATTCCAGATGCTCAGTGAGGTTTTTGTGCTCTCTGGACCAGTCAGTGACTTAAACAAGAGAACAGCACAACCATGTATATTATTGCAACGGTTGAAACAATGTCATTGGTTAGCAAAAGGGCAGCACTGCTTGGCTTGTTTTTTGGAGGAGTCGACACTGTGTAAAATGCGTTTCCTACTGAGCCCTGAAGAGTGCTGCTCAGGGCGTCTGTCCCACATTGCTCTGATTGTAGGTTGACACCAGTTAGTCAACAGTAATTTTTAGTTGTCCTTCTGAGTGAAAAATGGTTTATCCGCTATCAGTACAAACCAGTGATCCCATTACTTTTTATCCTGAGCCCTGGGGACACATTTTGTGCTCTCTCCTGTAGAAAACCCTTTTTGTATTTGAAGATGGTTATCAAATCCACCCTCAGTTTCCTTCTCCAAACTATCTAACCCCAGTTCTTCCAAGCTTCCAACCCCATGTTTCCTAAACCTCTAGTTTCTGTTACTTGTGCTCCACTCTCCCACTAGTTCCCCTGCCCTGAACTGGGCACGGTTCTCCAGATGAGGCCTCCCTGGTGCTGAATTGGGGGTATGAGCCACTTCCTGTGACTTGCATGTGACAGTCCTCTTAACAGGTACTCAAACTGCACTCTCATTTCTGTAGTATTCTTTTTCTTCCTTACAGATGACAAAGAGCGTTCTTTAGAGTATCTCCATGTGGCATGCAAAATACACCTCTTGAAAGCAGAGATAAGTAGTTACTCCTGGATAATTAGTTGTAATATCAGATGACTTCCATGCTTCATGAAAAATATTAATTTGACAAAAAATAAAGCACTGTCATTACTGACAAGAATGGAAAATGCAGGCGACCCTTGCCATTCACGGGGGATATGTTCTCGTCTCCCCTGCGAATGACGAAATCTGTGAATAAGGCACTGTGTTCATGAACTCAGTGCCCCCATTAGCTGGGGGAGAGGGGGCATGGCTCTGGTGGTGATGGCGGGAGCATGGCAGCAAAAGCCTGGCAGTGGTGGTAGGAGCCCAGTGGCAGCAAGCGCAGTGCTCCCGAGGAGCTCCTGTAAGTGTATAAGTGTATTTAAAATGCAGGCTCGGTATTTGCGAATATTTGAAACCGCGAATGCCGAAACGGCAAATAGCAAAGGTTTCCTGTAGGTGATGATAAACTGCTAAGTCACCTAGGGTTTGCCAGACTCTGTATGTTGAAAACAAATACAGGTTTCCCTCACCCTAGGCAGGTTGTGTATGTGTGAATTCTCTCTTATGCAATGACCTTTTTTATACCAAAAATGTGTTATATACGAGGTAAATTCACTTTTATGCACTTGGTGTGGCGGAAGCCTGTAGGCATTATCGGAGTGATGCTCTCCAACATATAGTCCCCTGCGTGGATATGTGCACCTTGCTCATTGTCTGCGACGCATGTTTTTGCAGTTGCCACCCCCATTATGGTAACCTTCACCACTGCCCTGTGCTTTTAGGTACTGTCTGCTGTTGGTGAACACCAAACTTGTCTTGCAAAAGTGGTAGAAATGGGTCTGGGAGTCATTGCTGCTGAGGTCTTGGAATGTATCCCTATTTGTTACATTGTAAAGTGGGTTCCCTTTATGCAAATTTGAGTTATGCGCCATTTTACAGGAACGTATGTATAGCCGGGGGTGTTGGGGGGGGGGGGGGGGGCGGGGTGCCGAGCGGCCAAACACGCCGATTTGGCGGTGGTTTCAGTGGTGTAGGGGGCAGGGCTGCGGAGCTGTCGATGTGAAGCTGGCAGCAATTCAGAATGGCCACAGCTGCTCTGTCCAGCTCCACGGGGCCTCCCAAAGTGCGGAGCCTGGGACCTGGGGTGGTCGTCCCAATTCACCCCCCACACCCAGGACAGCTCTGTGTACAGCATAAAGTGAGGGAAACATCTACTACACACAAACACACAAAAGCACAATGATATATAGGCCTGTGTGTAATATATGTTAAAAGCATACACACATTTATGTATACATTGTATGTGTATGTATATATAGACAAACACAGACACATACAGATATATCTATCTTTTTATCTATTGATCTATCTATCGGTCTTACTATGGCTTTTGTGAAGTGAAAAATGACAAAATGTAAAGGAGAGTATTTTGAAATGTTCTTCTATGTTATTCTTAGAAAATGAAAACCCATAAAACCTTTAATATAAAAGAAACTGTTTCAGTTTGTGATGCGCAACATTTTTTATAACCAAAAATGAAATTTCTGAGAATAGAACAAGTCCAAACCTCTGAATCTCACTTAGGGTTTTGGTTTTTTTGTTTTTTTTACACGTTGCATGCAGAGAAGTAAAGAAAACTACCTAAAATGGTGCCTATGCCCCGTTTTTGTCTAAGAGTTTCGCAGCATCCAGCTGTGCAGCAAGTACAAACATGGAGTAAGTCTCCACTTCATATTTTTGGAGGCATTTTCTGCCACTGAAATTTTCACCAGTGTAAACCAGAAAATAATAATTTCTGTTATACCATTTCTGATACAGTGGTTAGTGCACAGGGAGCATGACAGAGACAAAGAGGGGTCCTGTTCTGGATCCTGGAAGCTCACACATGAGGAAGGGCTGCCAGGCCTGCTCAGAGGGCAGTAGTTGCTTGCACTTACCCATGGCATCGTAGACTCTGGCTCCTATCAGCAAAAGCAGGCACAGCACCTGGGTCCCCAGTGCCAGTGCAAGGGGCAGCCAGGAGGAAGATGGCAGGAGAGGCACTAATCCAGAAAGGGAGAGAAATGAACAGGAAGGTGGGGAAAAGAAAGCACTTCTCACCCAAGAATTCAGGTCAGCCGGGAGCTCATGGGAGCATTTCCAGAGCCTAAGATCAGGTCCCTCACTCAGCCCAGGAGCAAACTGCTGAGCAGACAGGTGCAGGGAGAGGACAGAGAGGAAGGGCTCTGCCAGCACCCAGGGCAGAACTGCAGGTAGGGGGCAATTCTGCTGCCCAGTGGGGAGGGGAGGGGGACGGCGTCTCACCTCCCGGCTCTCCTCCCTGCAGCTGCTACCGCTGCGCCTGCTGCTGCAGCAACAATGGTCTGTGGCTGCTGCCACGGAGGCGAGGCAGAGGTTTAGGCTCCCCAGGAGCTGTTCCAGGTTTACCCCTTCCTCCCCACAGGTGTGGGGCTGTCCCTCCTGTGCCAAACCCCTGGGGTGGGGGGGGGGGGGCCTTCCTGCCCCCCCCCC